TCCTTCCTTCCCATTCCCTCTTCTCCCTTCCTTCCTTCCTTCCTTTCATCTTCTCCTTCCTTCCTTTTCTTCCTTCCTTTCCTGTTCTTCCTTCCTTCCCATTCCCTCTTCTCCCTTCCTTCCTTCCTTCCTTTCATCTTCTCCTTCCTTCCTTTTCTTCCTTCCTTCCCTGTTCTTCCTTCCTTCCCATTCCCTCTTCTCCCTCCCTCCCTTCCTCTCCTTTCCTGTTCTCCCTCCCTCCCTTCTTTCCTCCCCTTCCCTCTTTTCATTCCTGTCTCCTGGGGGGGGGGGGAGGTCAGAGACCCTCACTGCATTGGGCCCCCCCGCCAGCACTCACCGAGCCGAAGACTTTGCTGATGGCCGCCTCGATCTGGAAGTCAGAAGCCCCCCGGTCCATGTTGGCGCTGATCATGTAGGCCATAGACTAAAATGTTTTCCAAAAATATAGTTTCATAAGCATAAAAGAACAAATATTTTTTAGCGCTTTTAAACCTTTTTAATTATACTGCACAGTGTCCAGAAGGGGCCCTATTCCCGCGACGGACAGCGTGAAAATGGAATAAAATAAATACGTAATACTCCTCGACTTACAACGGTTCGTTTAGTGACCGAAGTTACAACGGCACCGGAAAAAAAGGGGCTTCGGACTGTTTTTCACACTTAACGACCATTGTCGCCTCTCCACATGATCGAAATGAGGAAAATTAGCCACCGACTCGCATTTATGACGGTCGTTGTGCCCCTGGGTCACTGTATGATCCCCTTTTGCGACCTTCTGACCCCATGGGGAAGCTGGATTCGCTTAACGAACCGTGTGCCTCACTTAACAACGGCAGTGATCCACTTAATGCTGGTGGCAGGAAAGGTCGTAAAATGAGGCAAAACTCACTGAACCAATGTCTCACTTAGCAACGGAAGGGTTGGGGCTCAATCTCAGTCGTAAGTCGAGAACCTCCTGCATCGGTGAGACAGGCAGGGCAGAAATATAATACATACAGGTAAGTCCTCCACTTGCGACCAATCATTTAGCAAGTGTTTGAAGTTACGACGTTCCTGCTCGGGGCCACTTAGGAACTTGATTCGAAGTTATGGCCAGGCCCCTTGTCACACGATCACAATTCGGAGACTCAGCAATTAGGTTGAACTTAGGTCTGTTTGTAGCATCCTGCAGTCATGTGACTACAATTTAAGACTTTTAAAACTGTATTTGTTTGTTTGTTTGTTTAATTTATTTCTTGTATTTATTTGTTTATTTATTAAATTTATTGCCCGTCCATCTTGCCACAGGGCAAAATTTTTATTTATTAAGTTTATTAATTAATTAAATTTATTGCTCATCCATTTTGGCACAGGGCAAAATTTTATTTATTTATTTAGTTTATTTATTAAATTTATTGCCCGTCCGTCTTGCCACAGGGCAAATCTGGGCATCTTACGGTATTAAAAGGATACAAGTATTAATTTATATTCATTATATTATTAATTATTACTGTATTATTATTACCATATTATTACCATATTAAAAGGATACAATATAAAACCTGTACATCATCAAATAAAATACCATAAAAATTATAAATACTCAAAAACGATTTTGCCACAAACTGCTTGTCTAATTCCCGTTTCTGGCCAAAATACACCCCCAAAATACCCACTAAGACTATGAGTTCTCTTAAAGACGGGCGCAAAAGAAGAGCTGGTGGACGCTGTTCCGTATTGACCCGCTTAAATGCCCAGCATGACTTACGACTGGAATTCAGGGCTCAATTCGTTATGACCAGGACTACAAGTGTCACCAAAAGGGTTTTTACGTTATTACACGCTAATTTTTTGGTATCGCAGGATTTGTTTTCTAAGATACTAGTCCTCAAGGCGGCCCAGTTAGTCGGGAACCCCACAGTCCTGAGAAATGACCCTGGCCGCCCCCCCCCCCCCGCTCCTGCAGATTGTCCACGCAAGCGCACGCCCCTACCTCCGTCACGTAGTGGAGCAACGCCATGCGGGCGAGTTTTTCCTGGATGGCTCCAAAAGTGTGGATTTTTTCCCCAAACTGAGTCCGATTGGCGGCAAAATCCACCTTTGGGAGAGAAAGGGATAAAAGAGAGTAGGGTTTAGACGGGGAAACAGCTAGTCCTCGACTTGCAACGGTTCATTCAGCGTTTAACGTTAACAAGGGCACTGAATCAAGTGATTTAGGACCGTTTTTCGCACTTACAACCGTTTTTCACACTTACGACCATTTGTCACTCTTACGACCGTTGCAGTCACATGATCAAAACCCAGTCACTCGGCAACTGACTCGTATTTATGATGGCGGCAGCGTCCCTGGGGGGGGTCACACAATCCCCTTTGGCGGCCTTCCTCCCAAGTGAAGTCAACGGGGAAGCTGGTTTCACTTAACGACTGTGGGACTCACTGAACTACCCCAGTGATTCACTGAACAAGGTCGTAAAACGGGAACAAGGTCGTAAAACAGGACAAAACTCACTTGACCAACGTCTCGCTTACCGGCAGAAATTATGGGCTCTATTGCAGTCGTAAGTGAAGGGCTGCCTGAATTACCACACCAAAGCAATGATTCTTGGCATAAAAGGTCATAAAATGACCTCAAAACTCAGTGGACAACCGTCTCGTTTAGACACAGAAAAACTGGGCCTCGCTCACGGTCGTTAAAGCGAGGACTGCCAGTATAAGGGGATGGAGGGAATACACTCTGGATGATAACTTCAAGGGGGGGCACCTGAGAAGAAAGCGGGGCCCCCAAAGCCACTCACTGCCTTGTGGATAAGCGCCCGCATGGTCCCTGCCATGGCGGCTGCCATGCCGAAGCGGCCGTTGTTCAGGATATTCATGGCCACCTTGAACCCAGCACCTGGCGCGCCCAGAAGGTTCTCCACCGGCACCCGGACGTTATCAAAGTGGACTTCGGCCGTGTTGGACGCCTTGATGCCCATCTTCTTCTCAGGAGGGCCGCTGTGGGGGACAGGAAGGGAAGTTAGACACCCCAGAACAGAGATCTCCAAACGTGGCAACTTTTAAGACGGGTGGACTTCAACTCCCAGAATTCCCCATTCAACCATCCCTGTTGTTCTTTTTTCCCTCCCCCTCCCTAGAGCGGAGCGATTGCAGAGGGAGGGATGACAAGAGAGGAAGCAGGCAGAATGCAGAGGAAGGGATGACAAGAGAGGAAGCAGGCGGATTGCAGAGGAAGGGATGACAAGAGAGGAAGCAGGCAGAAGGCAGAGGAAGGGATGACAAGAGAAGAAGCAGGCAGAATGCAGAGGAA